CCATTCTCCACCCTATAATTTGCCTTTCAACTCTAAACTGTCTTAGGCTCTCAAATCCCTGATTCTGATTTCTTGCCAAATCTTAGCTCCAGTTATGCCTACCTTTCATCTCTTCAATTATACTCATGAGCTCCTGAATGAAGCTGGGTGAAGTCATACAACTTTGCTGATTGCATACATTATAAATCCATGTTGTCCAATTTGCATTGAGCCCTCATTTCAGTAAAGCACTTATTTTATTCCTGCCTAATTGATTCCCTGTCTCATTCTCTATAGAAGTTGCTCCAAACCTCTTCCGTTTTCAATCCTGCTACATCTCCTCCTGTCCTCTCTCCCAGCTCAGGACCTCAGTGCTTTCCCAGTTCTCCTCTTGCCTCTCTGAGCACTCTTTCTCAGCCTTCTTTGCTGGATCCAGGGCACATATGCTAACCATGGGTATATCCTAGGGCTCTGTCCTGGACCCTCTTTTCTTCTCTCTCTAGACTATTTCACTTGGTGACCTCATCAGCTCCCATGGCTTCAATTGTCATCTCTATGCTGATGATTCCCAAATCTACTCATCCAGTCTTAACCTCTCTACTGACTTCCATCTCCAACTGCCTATTCAGCATCTCAAACTGGATGTCCCATAGACATCTTAAACTCACTATGTCTCAAACTGAACTTTACTGTATTATTTTTCTTCCCAAACCCATCCCCCTTCCTAGGAAAGGGTGTTCTAAGAGCTATTAAAGTTTAAACCTGCTATGGGAAGTGTAGAAGAATATATGTAACAGTCATGGAAGGAAATACATTAAGAATTGGTATTGCCAGGGGACATGCAGGGAAAGATGCTCTATGGGGACCCACATGAGCCGGTCACAGACTTGAAGGGGCGAGTCACAAAGCCCATTTGGAGGGACACTGAAGTCTTCTAGTCATGTCATCTTGCTGCCGCCAGAGCACCTGGTCCCCACGGATCGCCTAGTCTCCCAGGCTGGATGCTGCTCAGTCAGCTGCTGCTCCCCTGGATGTAGCCCTTGGCTCTGCTGGGCATTGCTAATGATGCCCTTCAGTCTCCAGCTCCTGGCTCAGCTGATGTCATCTCTTCCTCAAGAGAAGAAAGCAGGTTTTACCATACTTCATCTTCAGCTCAAGCATTTGCATTTTTTCCCAAGGTAGTTATGCTATAGGAATATGCCCAAGCACCATGAGTATTTGCATGTTGAAGTTAAAGCAGCTTTAATTCTGTCAAATGTTGCTATTATGCCCTATTTATTCTATGGAGCACTTTTTGAGGTGCATTTGGGAAGGCTTACTTTTTTTGAAAAATAAATAGCATCTGGCATGTTGGTTCAAGTTTATCACCATCTAAGCTAGATATGTTGAAGCTTTGCCCTGCTGTTTTAGAAAGGGCACAAACCCTTAACTGGGACCAGCAAACATCCTTCCCATTGGTTCTCTGGTCTTGTTCCCTTCAGAAACCTCTTAGCAGGCAATTCTCAGTCCTCCCTCCTTCCCCCCAAGCTCTTTAAAACAAAGAACTGGGTGGGCCCATATGGCTGATGTGCCCAGGCTTGCTTTTACTTTTTAGGTTTTCGTGGTCCTTGGGTTTGGTGTCAATACACTCTAATCCTGCTGTCAGAGGCATCTTGCCCTGGACCATAAAGGTAAGTGTGCCAATAAACTCCTGCTCAGATCATATCAGGGGCATTGTGTTTCATTTGAGGCACCATACATCTCAGAAAGGATATTAATAAGCTGGTGAAGGTCCAGAGGTGGCTGATCAGGAAGATCAGAGACCTTGAATTCATGCCATATTAAAAAAAAACTGGCAGAGAAGACTGATGGGGAGACATGAGAACCTTGTAAGAGTATTTGAAGGGCTGTATCAAATGCAAGAAGGATTAGGTTTGCTCTGCTTGGCCCCAGAGTGCAGAATCCAGAGCACTGGAGGTGGTGCAAGAAAGGTGTAGAGAGAGGAGAGGACTCTATTGCCTTAATGTAAAGAAAGTCTTCCTATCACGCCCAAGCTATCCCAAATGGGGATGCACAACCTTTGCAAGAAGTAGCGGTCTGTCTGTCCCTAGAAGTTTGCCAAGAAAAGGTGGATGGCCTCTCGTCAGGAATTCCCAGGAAATTGAAGAATAACCTTTGAGTCCCCTCACGACTTAGAGATTCTCTGAAAAATGACTGATGGATGGGCTAACCCTCTAGATACAATCTGTTCCACGTCATGAAGAGGCATCAGAGAATGCTATTCAGCACATGATAATCATGTCTTACAGTCAGAGGCTTGGCCAAAAGGTACAAAGATTGTAAGGACCCTCCGCGGTCCTTGTCAATTAAGCGTAACAACCAATTGTACTAAATGAGCAAAATGCGGTCTTAAAGGCTCCTCAAGAGGCTCGCACCCTTGCATGTGTTAACATCACGCGAGCGTCTTTGATGGACAAAAACTTTGGAGGAAATATGGTTTGATGGTCCTCTGACTATCAGTACCAAACAGGGGGATGCGTGCTCACTGAATTGTTTTTCACTGAAATGAAGGGTATCCAAATGGAAGAGGAATTAGCTCTTGTGACCCCCTCCAGATGGTCCTTTTTAAAGGTGCCGATTGCATTGAGCCTTCCACCCCTGAAATTTGGTTCATAGCCACTCAAAAGGGGTCAGTGGAACAATCAATGTGGAAAATATTAAATGGGTGAAGAATACCTGTTATCCAGACTGCTTCTTGTAGTAAGATGGATGCCCCCCTGAATAAGCCCACCAGTTCATTTATAGCAAATGGATCAACATTGAGAGGGACTTGGGCTTAAAGGAGAGAGAGGACAGGCTGGATTACCTTTGAGAAACTGAATAGCTATCCCACAACCCAAAACTGACTCCTGGCAGCAGAGCTCATCTGCTCTTACCAGTATGCTTTGTGGCCATGATCCATGGAATGACATAAATTCACCAAAATCATATCCACAGGGGACCCAAAGGGCAGTGAAGAGATGTATGGCAGGAATGAGAGGGTTACTACATATTGACAGCCATAGAATACAGTGCAAAATAGAGGGCATTCATGTCTGGAAAAGGAGTCAGGCCAGTCCTCTTCCAAGAAAGAGGGATAGCAAATAAACAGACAGCAACAGCGTGGTACATTGATGTCCGTGATGTATTCTGAGGACCAGAGGTGGGCCTCCAGCTTGTTGGGTAGATCCACTTATGATATGAGGTAAGATGACATGGCATGGTTTAGCTGTGATCTACATCAATGGAAGAAATGTTCATAACAATGAGGTCATGGACTGATCAGAGTCACAGAGCAGTTGCACAGTTTACCAAGTCAATGTAATGTATTTGGAAAGACTTTTGATGAAAGTGTATCCATGGGCTGTCACTGTGAGTGTGCTCTTGTGGGTGTGGCAATGACAACATATATAGGGTATCTCTTCTTTGAAGGCCCCTCTCCTCGACACCTTCCTTGATCCCTCCAATTGAAAGTGGTCCTTCTTTCCTCCATTGTTCCAGGAGCACTTTTTCTCATGTCCCTATCACCCTCTTCCTTGTATTTTACTCATCTCTATTAATACCCATTTCACTAACGTCTACTGACAATGCCTCTTCCCACCACGGAAGGGAAGGCCACAAGCTCTGATGGATTCTCCCAAACTAGATAGGCTTCAAATATGGCTCCAAAGCTGGACAGTGTGTCTGCTTTCCAGGGACTAGCCAAGTGCTGTTCACGTGAACAAACCCCAGGGTGGCTTCATTGGGATGGAGTTTTGGACCATATCTACTGAGTGATGGTGAATGGGGAATGGGGGTAGAGGTAGGAAGGGTTAAGATCTCTGTGAGGGGAGGCAGCAGCCTCAGAGATGGAGCTACAGCTTCTGGGAGCATTTAAATGTTGGAAAAATAAAGGCAGGGAAGAATGTGATGGATCCTGACAGTGATGGATAAATCAGGTATTCCAGGCTTTGTACAGCATATATATGAATATCTCTTCCTTTAAGGCTTGGCTTTGGGTACCACCTCCTCTAGAAAGCCTTCTCTGATCTCCCAGCTGAAAGTGGGATATTTTGCTTCTAGATGCCTTGGCCTGATTCGCTCCCCTCTTCTCCCATATGCACTCTCTTCTTTCTACAGGTTGAGTTCATGTCATTTCTCCCCAGTAGAATGCAGAGTCCTTGAGGGCATAATCGTTGGCTTCCTAATGCTGAGCAGAGGGCCCTATACACGTGAAGTGATTAACAAAGGATGGACAGTGAATTGAATGACAAGTAACATGTGGATATTATATATTGATATATATTCACATGTGTGTTAATATGGTCTGTATATATGCCCGAATATAGTATACTCCTACATATTTGTGTGTGTGTAAGTGTATACATATATACACACACACACACACACACACACACACACACACATACATACATTTATATATTTATGCTATAGAACAGTGCATACCCTTTGATTCAAAAATACCACTGCTAGGTCTGTATCCCAAAGACATCCCAAAAAAGGGAAAAGAATCTATTTGTACAAAATATTTATAGCAGCTCTTTTCATAATCAAAGGGATGCCCATCAATTGGGGAATGGCTAAACAAGCTGTAGTATATGGTTATAATGGAATATTATTGTGCTATGAGACATGACAAACAGGATGATTTCAGAAAAGCCTGGAAAGCTTTACTTGAGCTGATGCGTGGTGAAGTGAACAGAACCAGGGGAACTGTCCACAGTTACAGAAATATTGTTTGATGAACTGTGAATGGCTTAGCTATTCTCCCCAATACCATGATCCTAGACAATTCCAAAGGACTCATGATGAAGCATACTATTTGCCTCCAGAGGAAGAACTGGTATTGATTGAATACAGATGGGACCATGCTATTTTTCACTTTCTTTCAGTTTTTCTTTTATTCAAGTCTTCTTGTACAAAATAACTAATATGGAAGTGTTTTATATGATTGTACGTGTATAACCCATATCTGATTACTTACTGTCTCAGTGAGAGGGAAGGAGAGGGAGAGAGAAAATTTAGAACTCAAAATTTTAAATAAAAATGTTAAAAATTGAAAAACATATAGTATATATAGATCTAGCTAGTATACCTCCTTAAAGACCCCAAAGCTCCCCACTATTCCTATACTTCCTTTCCTAAGTGCTCTGAATGACCTCTAACCCTTTCATTAATGCATATATGCCCTCAACATATATTCTCTTAAATTCCTATGTCTGTCTTTCTTTCTGCTCTGGTGAGTTCCTATGGGGTAGAGATGGGTGGGCAGGAACCATGCCTTTGCTTCACCAGCCACCTGCCCCAAATTTCCCTTTGTAGGTGCAGGATGGTGCTCTGGTCTCCATCACTAGGTCAGCCTCTTCAGGTTGAGGTGAATGCCATTCTTGGAACGCAGAGTCAGCTGTAGCTGCTTGATGGGAGGCTGAGTGGGGTCTGGGGAGAATTCAAAGTGTAACAGGCAGAGGGCTGTGACCACCTTCATCTCTGTCATGGCAAACTGCTGCCCAATGCAGTTCCTGAAGTCAGAGTCAAGAGAAAAATAGCCTCAGTCCCAGGTCCAGAGAGGCAGGAACAAGCTCATGCCTGGCTTCATGGGAGTCACAAGAGCTGGCAAAATACTTCACACACACACACACACACACACACACACACACACACACACACAATGTCATTGGAGCTACTCAGCAATGTCATGATTTACATCCTATAGGAATTATTATACCCGTTTTACAGATGAGGAAGCCAAGACTCCATGGTCACCCACCTTAAAGGCATGATTTGAACTGACTCTAGTCCCACCCTTTATCCATTAAACTATAACACTGCTTTAATAAAAACTGAAGAAGGCTGAATGAAAACGGGGTGGAGACCTTCATGAAAAGCAGTTAGTGGGTGTAGCAGTGAAAGGGGCATTACACCTTGCTTTGGGGATGCAGCCAGCCAGCCACTGAGTCAGTACATATGAAGTGCCTACTAAATGCCAAGTGTTGTGCCAAGTCCTGGAGATACAGAGAGAGGTCAAAGATGGTCCCTGCCCTCAAGGTAAATCATACCAATGCAAACAAGAAATACGTGGTGATACTCATAGAAATCAGCATCTGCCCCGACTAGGAACAGGGGGTCTAGGCGGTAGCGATCCTCCTGCTCCCAAACTGGACTCCAAGGAAATGACAGTAATAAGAGCTGGCATAGATAGAACCCTTTAAGGTTTACACAGTCCTTTATAAGTATCATATCATTAGAGCCAACCCTGTGCAGTAGGAGCTATTATAATCCCCACTTTTACAGATGAGGAAACTGAAACAGAGGTCAAATGACTTACCCAAGGTCACACAGCTAGTTTTGAACTCAGGGCTTCCTGATTTTACTGTACCTACCTAGATCAGAATATACTGCCTGAGTAGTCAAGTCAAGTCAAGTAGCATTTCTTAAAAACCAGCTAGATGGGAGGTACTGGTCTGGTACTGAGCCTGAGCACAAGGGCTTAATAAATGCTGGTTGACTTGACTTGACTTGCCTGGTCCAGCACACTAAACCCCATTCCTTCGATTGTTCCTACAATCCAACCTTATTCTCGTCTCTGACATGTCTCTACCTGCATAAGGGTGGGAAGCAGGCTGATTGCAAAGCTGGTTCCTCTCCACCCTGCACTTCTGAGGGAAGGAAAAAAAGAACTTTGCAGGGGTGGGGGGGGGACTTAGATGGCCTAATCTAGCTAGGTGATGTAGTGAATGGAGCATGGAAACTAGAGTGATCCTGGACAATTCACTTAACTTCTCTCTGCCTCAGTTTACTCAACTGGAAAATGGGGTGATAATAGCATCTGCCTTCTAGAGTTGTTTCGAGGATCAAATAAGATATTTGTAAAGTGCTTAGAACAGTACATAGTAGGTGCTTAATAAATGATTGTTCCTTTCTTCCTTCCTAACGCTGGGATTCCCTGCAGTTTCCCATTTCCAGCACACTGAGGATCATTTCTGACCTGGGCCCAGCCGAGAAGGGCATGAAGGCAAAGGGATGGCGTCCTGAGGAATTCTCGGGAGTGAAACGCTGGGGGTCAAATACCTGTGACAGAAGAGAGAAGTTGGCTTAGATAGCTCGTTAGCACCCCAGTCCAGGGAACAGAAGGTGAAAGACTGAAGCCCAGCTCTGACCCTGGAGAATCACCTCCTTGTGGGCTTCAACACCTACTTATTAGGTACCTAATGTGTGTAAAGCATTGTTTTAGAGGGAGAGGGGATAGAGAGATAATCGAAAAGAGGAAGCAGAAGTGTTGGCTGACTTCTTCACTGCCAGTGACATCTGACGTATCTTGGGAAGGAGGAGACATGTTACACCCATCAAAGGAGGGCAAATCACATGTCCACTTTCAAAAAAAGAAAGAGAAAGGATTCACAAACTGTAGTTTATAGTGAGTTGACTTCTGTACCTGGTTAATTCTAGATTCTATTATCAAAAGGATGGTTGTTCAATGTCTTGAAAAGGAAGCAATGATCACAAAGAGCAACTTGATTTCAGCAAGATCTGACCCTTCCTTCCTTTCTTTTTCTCTTTTTTCTTCTTTCCTTCCTTCCTTTCTCCCTTCTTTCTTTCCTCCTCTTCTTCTCTCCTTCATTCCTTTCCTTCTTCCCTCCCTCCTTCCTTTCTCTTTCTTTTTCTTCCTTCCTTCCTTCCTTCCTTCCTTCCTTCCTTCCTTCCTTCCTTCCTTCCTTCCTTCCTTCCTTCCTTCCTTCCCTTCTTTTCCTTTCTTTCTCTTCTTTCCTAGTTTCTTTCTCTCTGCTTCCCTTTCTTCATTTCTTTCTTCTTCTTCCTCCTTGTCATCCTCATCCTTGTTCTCATCTCTCTTCTTCTTCTTCTTCTTCTTCTTCTTCTTCTTCTTCTCTTCTTCTTCTTCTTCTTCTTCTTCTTCTTCTTCTTCTTCTTCTTCTTCCTCTCTTCCTCCTCCTCCCCCCTCTTCTTTTCAAAGTTACTAAACTGGTAGGTTAAAGGAATTCTGTAGACATTTAAATTTTATTGAGATCTTAATAAATCACTTCTAAAGCGTCTCTGTTCTTATAATTAGATGAGGTTGGATGGACCCAGAATGCATTATCATTAGATTGATGTTGACTTGGCAGAAGGTCTCCGATGTAGCATCTTGGGGGTCAATGTTTGACCCTGTGTCATTTAATAGTTTTATTACAGATGAAGGCATAAATGGCAAGATTACCAAATTTGTGGATGATAACACTTTGGGAGGGAAGGGTAAACGCATTGGATGACTGAGAATAAAAAAAATCCTGGTGGGGCAGAAAGTTAAATTGAAGCGAGGGAGTTGAAATTCATAGGGGAAAATGTAAAGTCTTCCATGCAGACCAAACAAAACAACTTCATAAGAACACCAGGGAAGGCTTTCTTGGCAAGAGTCTTCCTGAAAAATGCCATATGTAGGGGCAGCTAGATGGCACAGTGGATAGAGCACTGGCCCTAAAGTCAGGAGGAACTGAGTTCAAATCCAGCGTCAGACCAAACACTTGGCATGTACTAGCTGTGTGACCCTGGGCAAGTCACTTAACCTCAAATGCCTAAAAAGTAAAAAAAAAAATGCCCGTATGTGCTTTAGTGCCTGGACACACTCGAGTAGGCATCTAGGCATCAGCAGTGTGCTGTGGCAGCCACACACACTTGGCCTGCACTGCAATGTGAGACTCCCATGAATAAGGAGTTTGCCTTCCACATTCTGCCCTGAACAAACCATATGTGGACTATTCTGGGCTTCTCATTTTAAGGACGTTTATCAGCAGAAGAAATGTCCAGAGGAGAGTGACCAAGGTGGCGAAGGGCCTAAGATCATGCCATGTGAAGACCATCGGAAGGAAGTGAGCGTATGCATCCCAGAGTAAAGAAGATTCAGGGCAAGATGAGAGCTGCTTTCAAGTATTAGAAGGGATGTCATATGGGAGGGAGGATTAGCTTTGGTCTGCTTGGTCCCAGATGGAAGAACCAAGAGAAGACCCAGGCTCAGGGCTAGGAAGACCTTCCTGACAATGACTGCTGCCCCAAAGCAAAATGAGCATCCTCAGGCTGGCTTCATTGGAGTCTTCTTGGGAAGTCAGCCTTTAAGCAGAGTCTATGTGGAAGCTTGTGAGAGATGGTGCAGAAGGGATTTTCATTCACATAGCAGTTGGGTGGATAGAGCCCTGGATTCAGGAGGACCTGAGTTCAAATCTGGCCTCAGACATATAACGCTTACTAGCTGTGTGACCCTGGGCAAGTCACTTCACCCTGTTGCCTAACCAAAACAAATAAACAAACAAATAAACAAACAAACAAACAAAAAACCCAGACAGCAGTTGGATTTGAAGATCTCTGATCTTCTGCAGCTTGGGGGTTCTGTGGTTCTGCTAGATGAATGGACCCGAGTAGTGAGGTTTGGGAAAGTGTTTGAGGTAACCCAAAGAGGAGATCTGGTGAATGGTTTGGGAAGAGATTGGGAAGTCAACAGGAGGAGCAAAGCAAAGGGATACTTTCTTTTCCCTAGACTCTCTTCCTGTCCCCCTGTATCCCTGGAGTGGCCTTGGGAAATGGCATCCTCCCTCAGTCCTTCTCCTTCCCCCCATCTTCCACCCTCTGCCTCTGCCTTGTCCAGAGACAAACATCTTCTCTGGGAGCAGCCACCCTCGGTCTATGTGGAGTCTCCCCTTAGGGACACAGAAAACAGAGGTACCTCAGGATCAGTCCAAACAGTGTGGTTCCTGTGGAGAGCATAAATGTGCAAGGAAACCAGGCTTCCTGTAGAACAGGGAGAGAAGCAGAAGATCAGTGGCGATAATCTTGGTAACACACTCACATGTGCCTGTCATTTAGCAGGCCATCCCCCCCAACCCTTCCTTGCACACTGTAGCCCCACCATCTAGCTTCCCAAACCATTTGTGCTTCTCCTTTCTATGGAGGGAACCACCATTCATACCCCCATCTCCAGGCTTGAAATATCAGCATCATCCCTTGGAGCTCTCCCCTCTCTATCCCCTATCCAAAGCTTAGAAGTCATCGTCTTGTTTCTACCTCTGCAATAATCATCTTGATTCTACTTCTGCAATAATTCTGGCATCCATCCCCTTCTCTCTCCTCACATAGCCACTCGCCTAGCCTTACCATCTCTCTTCTTGACTGTCGCCTCCTAATTGTCTCCTTGCTTCTCATTTCTCCCCACTCCCATGTATCTTTTCCATTGCTGATAAAACAAGTAAGGTCATGCTACTCCTCTGCTCAAAACCTTTCAATGGCTCCCAGTTGTGAAATCTTTGACCTGGCATTCAAGGCCTTCCACAATCTGTCTCCCACCTCTCCTAGGTTTGTGTCATTCTGTTCCCCTTCATGTGTTCTAGGTTTAGCTGAACTGGAGTACTCACTGTTCTGCCCCCCAGACACTTGGACAAGCCATCCTTGAGGCCGGGGTTGCGTGCCTTCTTTAGGAGAAACCTCTTGGAACTCGTATTCTTTCAAAACTCAGCCCTGGCACTACCAACTCTGTGATCATCCCACCTCCCAGCCTCAAGTATTATGCTTTCTCGTATCTTTATCTTCTGTCTAATATATTTTATTTTTGTGCATGTTGTTTTCCTCTGAAAACAGAAGCTACATGAAGGCAGGGGCTGACTCCCATCTTGTCTTTGTACCTCTAGAACATAGTACAGTGCCTGGCATATACTAGGTGTTTAATAAATGCTCTTTGCATTGTGGGCTAGTTAGAGCCTGTTATCACACAGAGCTGTGAGGGAGGTATGGCAGGAGTTATTGGCCTCTTTTTATGGCAGAGGAAATTGAAGCCCAGAGAAGATGTGAACTGTCCAAGTGTCACAGGATGAGCCGAGGGAATCAGAAACGGGAAATACCAGTTTCAATAGTCTTTGCCACAGACACTGTATTCAGTCAATCAGTCAGTCAGTTCATAAACACTTATTATGAAGCACCTACTATGTGCTAGGCGCTGTGCTAAGCACTGGGGATACAAAGAATGGCAAAAACACAACAGATTTTCCTCCATGACCTCACAGGCTAAATGGGGAGGCAACTTTCAAGCAATTATGTACACACAGGATAAGTGTTGTTTGTCCTTTGTTCCTGAAGAGGACCATGGCGTCAGGAAGGTGGTGCCATGACATGAAAGTGAACTGGATTTAAGTGAGGGCGTGCTGGGCAAAGTCACCAGTCCAGAGCCATCTGGGTCCAGTGGCCAGATATGGATCAAGATGACTGGAGATGGCCCTGGATGCAGTGGGGGACCCAGATGTAAGTAAGATCGGGGGGAGCACTAGCACAGGCGGGAGTAGGATTGGGAAAAACTTCTCAAAAAAGGTAGGCTTCGAGCTGAGATGCGAAGGAAGCCAGGGGAGCAACGAGGTAGAAGTGAGGAACGAGAGCACTCTAGGTAGGGGCACAGCTGGGACAAAGACATGGAGGGGAAAGATGGAGTATCAAGGGCGTGGAGTAGAAAGTAAGCCAGTGTAATAGGAACAAATGTGTAGATGAGAGTCTAGTGTGAGACTGGAAAGATGGGAAGGGTTTGGGTTATGAATAGCTTTACATTCGAAATAGTGGACTTTATATTAAGTCAAGTGAAGTTATCAAGCATTTATTAAGGGCCTACTAGGTGCCAGGCACTATGCTAAGCCCTGAGGAGACATATACAAGAAGAAAACAAAAAGCTTGTTGCTGTATCTTTAAAATGCTATGGAATCTTTGAGTGTGGAGTCATTTTCTAGGTATCTGTGCAAGGACTGAGACTTTGTTATTCAGGAAAGACTGTAAAACGATAGCTGAAAGGTGGACAGAATAGAAGACTAAGAAAACTGAGTTAACATAAAGACAATTTTTGAGAAGAGATTTTTAATAGGCATCCTGAGAAAAGTGAGTAATAGGAATTGGTTTCTGGAACTGAGAAGTCAGGAGCTGTAATAGTGGTTAGAGGTGACTGGCTGTGATCTTTTTTACAAATGATGGAATGTAAGTAAATCATTTATCTTTGTTTTATTGTTACAGTCCTAACATAAAGTAATAATAATAACAATCACTTAGCTTATAGCACTTTAAGGTTTGCAAAGTGCTTTATCCATACTATCTCATTTTATCCTCACAGCAACCTTGAGAGGGATATGCATCCCCATTTTAGAGATGAGGAAAGTGAGGCACAGGAGAAGTCAGGTTCTTTGCTCAGGGTCATACAGCTAATAAGTGCCTGAAGCTGGATTTGAACCTAGGCCTTCTGGTGATAAATCCAGCATTTTTTCTATTATGCCCATACAGGCTATGACCTCTAGGATCTGGGTCACCCTCAGCCTACCTTCAGGCAATGACCTCCCATCGGTGAAGGTAACAGGTTTGCTGAGCTGGCGGTAGATCTGGGGCACGGTGGGATATAGGCGGAAACTCTCTTTGATGCAATAGGTGAGGTAGGTCATTTTCGCCAGGTCTTCCCTGTGGGGTACATGGTTTACCTTTTAAGAGGGTCCAGAAAAGACAGAGGGTCCTGTAGAGAATCTCCCAGCCCACCTCCATAGCACCTTTTTGCTCCTTATAGCCCCATGTTCTAGCTTCCTGGGGGCGTCAAGGCAGGGATGGGGAAGCTCAGGGATGCTCAGTCTGGGACCCTTCCCAGTTATTCAGCCCCAGCCCTGTCTCTGTTGTTCCTCCCACCCTTCTACCTCAGCCCCTAAGGTCTCCCAGCCCTCCTGGGTATACATCAGGCTAAGTCTGACCTCTGTATTTGCTCCTGTCAATAATCCACCCTGAGTGCCTCCATCTTCTCTCTGCCTCCATATGTCCTGCCTGTTCTCCAGGACCCAGCCTGAAACCTCTTGCTGGACACCTTCTCTGACCATCCCAGCTTCCAGTCTATGAGTTTCTGACATCTTCACTTCCTGAGCCATCCAGGTCAGCTCCTGATCACACACTATCTGATCCCCTGTAGGTGAGTCTTGTCATCCCAGCCTGACTAAGGGCTACCTGAGCACAGGGGAGTTCTCTTCTGTACCTGCCTCCCCCACAAGGCTGTAAATTTGGGAGAGACTGGAAGAGCCTGGCTAACTGATACAGAGGGGTGATTGCACTTTCATATTTCAAATTCAGCAAACATTTATGAAGCACCTATTATATACAGGGCTCCACCTGCAAACACAAAATTGACATAATATAGTTCCTGCTTTCCAGCCTGGCTATACTGGATTTAAAATTCAAGGACACAAAATGGGTAAAAATGTTCCTTGACTTTGTCCAAGTCTCCAACTTTCTCTGGGCCTTGTTTTCCCCATTTGTAAAGTGAAGGGGTTAGAGTAGATGATCTCCAGGGTTGGTACAGCTTGAAAACTGGTGACCTTAAGGAAATGACAATCTAATGTAGGTGAGGAGTGGGGAGGGATGTGTAAGATGCCTTAAGAGAAAAAGTCAGTCCATGTTTGGGGTTCCATGAGGGAATAAGGGGAAGCACCCAGGAGGTTCAAAGGCAAAGCTTCAGGACCTTCTTAGTAGCTTAAATCAACAACTGGGGAAGCAAACATTCCAGACTGTCCTTTGAGTTTTTTCAAAGCTCTCCACCAGTGCAGAGAAAGAACAAATGACTTTGGATTTATAGCTACTAGGTTCCGATGCTGCCTATGATTTACTACCTACACCTGTGTGACCTTGGGTAAGTCACTTCTCTCTGGGCCTCAGCTTCCTCATCTGTAAAATGAGGGGGTTAGACTCAGTGGCCTTTAAGCTTCCATGCAATTCTGAATCTAGGATCCTTGTGCCTAAGCCCTTTTCCAGGCTACACTGGGAGGAGGGTGAAGGGAGACGGAACCAGGAGGAAGAGAATGAGACAGGTCCATTTCAGAACGTCAGAGCTGGGTTGGGGGAAGCCTAGATAAGGGTCACCTAGTTAAATACCCTCATTTTACAGATGGGAAAATGGAGGCCCAAAGCAGTTAAGGTCACTTGACAAGTTAGTGGCAGACCTGCTACTATGACTTGATCCCTGACCTCAGGCCAGGACAGTCTTTCCCCAAGGCAACACCCTCATCATTTGCTCTTAATTTCCTTGCACCTGAGTGTCCCAAGCCTAAGGCAGATCGTTGCTGGCTTTCCAGAGGGAGGCACACCTCCTTCCTGTTGAAGTTGAGGACCCTCCTCTGATGGCCCCTCATTCTGGCCCTGGGCAGAGTCAGGCCTGGCATGATGGATATAGATTTAGAGTTAGGGGGTCTAATGGGTTAGTGTCCAGTGGGCCTAATTCAAGAGGGTTTGGGTCTGACCATCATGCTGCATTCTACTGGCCATGCTGTCTGTTTGGAATCCCCATATCTATCTTATCAGCTTTATTTAACCCGTATCAATATGATGTCTGGAACTAGTCCCAGCCATGCTGAACTGCCATTCCTTCCCTGACTGCCAGGGAATTCTCCATGCCCACACACCTCACCCTGTGCCTGGAATGGGGCCATTCTTCATTCTTGTCTGTAACAATCCTTCCCTTCCTTCAATTGAATTCAGTAGAATATTGACAAATTTCCTACCTGGCACAAAACCCTTCTGGGTGCTGAGGGCACAGAAGACAGAAAGGAAAATCACTTGTCCTCAAGGTGCTTACATTTGAAATCTTCCTTCAAGGCACACCTTCCCCAAGAAGCACTTACTGTTTCCCCAGCTGCACCCCGCCAGGGACCCCAGAGAGAATGGAGCAGGAGCAGAAGCAGGCTGGTTCCTGTAGCCCCTGGGACACTCCAAGCCAGAAGTAGGGGGACAGGGAATGGGGGACGTTTCCCTCACCACTGGATAGTGTCACGACCCTGTAGGATTTCCTGGATCTCCTTCCGACAGCGGTGCTGGTGCTCTGGGTAGAGGGCCATGCAGTACAGAAACCAGGAGATGCTGCTGGTGGTGGTGTCATGGCCTTCAAACATGAACGTGTCCACCTCAGCCCGTAGGTCCGTGTCTGACAGGCTGGTCTTGTTCTCATCCTCGTGGGGGGGGAAGGGAGGGGTGGAAAATGAACACAGACAGAGCTCAATTTTCCATTTTATGAACTATCTGTACCTAAAAAATTTCCTTCAAGGTCAGCTTCATTTTGGACCCCTCCTTCAGCTCCGGGATCCTTCCTCATCCCCTTCTCAGCCTCTTCCTCTCACTCTTCCTCAGTATACCTGCACACCATCTCCAGAGACCCTCCCACAGACCTCGCACTCTCAGGCCCTCAGTGAACTCGGCCTCAAGCTTGGCATGCCTGGCACTTCCTCATTGCCTGACCAGGTTCCAAGTCCTGATTTTACCTCCACAACATCCCCCCCCCTTCTCTCCCTTCCCTCAAGCCAGCCACTACCTTGTTTCTGGTCTCCTTACAATCTGCCTCCACTATTCTTGCCAAGGCTTCTGACTGATCTATCCCCTCCCATGCCCTAGTTACAAGCTACCTGGGCCACTTCACAGTGCCCCTCCTGCCTCCCAAGGCCCTTAAGTAGCCCTCCATTGTGTGGGGGATAATGGACAAACTCCTGGCCCTGGGCTTCCACACTTTTCACAATCAGCCCCCAGTCAACATTTTTAGCTTTATTTTGCATTTCCACATTTTTTATTCCTATTTTTACAGATAAGAAAACTGAGGCTCAGAATGGTCTAAGGCCATACAGCCAACAAGTATAGGAGTAAAGATGGAACCCAGATCTCAGGAGACGCTGTCCACTTTGCTTGTTTGCACCACACCATGCTGCCTTTCTCCTGACTTCTCCATTCATTGAAATCCCTCCCTTCCTGCCATGCCCGTCAGGTGCAGCTCCTTGTGAGAAGCTGTTCCTGATCCCCTCCCCTTCCCAGGTAGCAGCAGTCTTTCTCTCCATGAATTTCTTCCTTCAAAATCTGCCTTCTCACCTCCCATCCTCCCTTTTATCATAATTATCTCGGTACAAAGCTCTCCCTTCCCCCAACTACACAGTAAATTCCTTCTGGGCAGGGACTGTTTTGATTAACAGCTTCGTGTGCCCAGGTCTGAGCACAGGATGCCAGAAGTAAATTCTAAGAGTTGAGACTCTGGCAGGGGCCTTCCCTCCACACCTTCAAATTGTCTTCACTGGTCTTCAGTCACAAGTATTCAGCCCCTGAGGACAAACTTTCTAGAAAGGACCCTTTCCATTCATAGTCAGGATGGGCCTCAGACAAGAGACATAGGATTGTCATGAGGACAGAGGGCACCAAAGCTGGGCAGGACCTGCCAAGAGTGTGCCCTACTGGCAGAGACCTCAAAAGCTAAAGGCACCTCCTTCAGAGGAGGGATCAAATGGGGGAATTACATACCATATACACTTTAATGACTGCTTATGAAATTGATCTAACATCCAGTGGTGTCAAAGGGAATTGGGAAGTTATCTCTGACTTCAACACTTAATGAAGCTGACATTTTATTGTGGTGGCCACTGCCTCAACCACAGCCTATCGCAATTAGCCCCCAGGGCTCCTCCTCTTCAATCTTCTCTATGAGCACCAGTGATCTTCCATTGAGAATCTACCCAAAGACAGGAGGCTATCTTTCCTTTTGGGCCCTTTTTTTCTTAAATTTATGGGATAAAATAAGAATTTCTATAACAAAATATTATAAAAAAATGATTGTACTGAAGATCTATTATGTACAACTTGCTATTCCATTTACATGTGATAAACTTATATATAATTTCTTTTTAATTTTTTTCCTGTCTACCATGGCTACCATTAGACACAAATATGTGTGTGTGTATGTATGCTTATAAATAAATATACACATTCATATACATACACACATTCTGTACATCTATCTATAATTCTATAATCCATTTATCAATGATTTCTCTGGGACCTTTTAACACATCAAGAATACTTTGGTGGCAGCATTTGGGATGGACAGTGAGAATCTGACTTCTGACCTCATCACTCAAATGAAACTGCCCTCTCCAGGTTACCAAAACTCTCCTAATTGTTAAATCTCAATGGCTTCTTCTCAGGCCTCAACCTTCTTGACCTCCCTGCAGCCTTTGACACTACTGATCACTGTTTCACTCTCTCCTCCTGGGCTCCTGGCTTTTTGTGACACAGTGGTCTCTTTCTCTCTCTGTGTCTCTGTGTCTCTGTCTCCTCTGTCTGTCTCTCTCTCTCTTTCCCATCTCCTCTCTCTTTCACCTACAGTGGCTCTTCATTGCCTGTAGCATCCAAATCAACCTTCTCTATTTGTTATTCAAAGCTTGTATAATCTGGTTGCTTCCGATCTTTCTAGTTTTCTTACGTATCACCCCCTTCCAAGTACTCTATGGAGAAGCAAGTCAAATTTTCGTTATTCCTCTCACATGACACTCCATTTCTCATGCCTTTCTACAGATGTTCCCCATGCCTGGAATACTCTCAATCTGCACCTCCACTTCTCAGCATCTCTAGCTTCCTTCAAAGTTCTGCTAAAGTTTCCCCTTCATCAGATTTTCTATTCTACCAATGTGCTGGTGATACTCCCTCCGTGACCTCTCCCAATTATGTTGTACATATTCTGTATACACTTATATATGTACTCATTGTCTGACCCTTAAGGGTCAGGGCTGTCCCATGCCTGCTTTTGTATCCTCAGTGACCCTCACAGTGCCTGGCACTTTGGACCTTAATTTATGCTCTTTGACTGATTGATTGGATGACCAATCCCGCCTATTTCCAATCATCATCTCCTGGTTGACATCTTTTAGACCTCTTACAATGAACAAAGCGTCCTCAGTCACGCACTTCAGCCTACATACACTGACCATGTGCCCCTCTCTTGCTTTTTGGGTGCTTTGCCATTTGAATTCTTTGGAGATAGTGGTCTTCCAAGATTCATAGCTTGGCATCCTTTGGAAGCCCTGGGCACTTTCCAAGTGTACTCCACTCCTTTACTTCTGGCTCCTGTTCTCTTCTTGACCCAGCTCTTTATTCATCCAGAGGGTCTGGCCCCAGATATATGTGTTAGTGGGTTAACTTAGCTGCCAATCCAAATCCTTACCCTAGCCCACACAAGAGCCATTGTTCATCTGACCACTATGTCTCAGAATCCTTCAACGCTCAGCCCACGTACCACCGCTTTTTAGTAGTGTGTGCTGATCCTCCCAGGTGATAGTTCTCCTTCCCTACTCTAATTACCTTGTATTTACTTAAGATCATCAATATGCGGCTGGAAAATCTTGGAGTCTTACGTGCATGTAGGTTCCCATCAGTGGAATGTAAATTCCTTGACCACATGGTCTGTTCCATTTTCATCATTGCATCTCTAGCCCCTAGTCAAGGGCCCTGCTTATATGAAGAGTTTGCTGAGTTTGAATTGTTTTTTTCCCTATGTACATTAGGCAGACAGTCTCTTCTCCACTGCCCTATAAACACAACAAGGAGGCTCTTTATGGTTCCAGTCATGATGCTCTTAGTACAATCCATAACCTGCCATCTGCAGTCAATCATGTGCAACCTGGACTGACTGGAGAACTTTACTGTTTATAGAGAATCTCTGCCCACTTTGGAATCTGGGAAGGATCTTCTTCATGCCAGTGGAAGACCTTAGTGAGCCACCAGCTCTTTATTTTATGCCCTACTTAATGTTGGTCACCAGAGAATCATTGAATAAAGTTAACAAAGTTAACAATCTATTATTGTGCAGGAAGTGGGGTGGAGGGTGGGCTAGATGAGCTGACTCCTAAAGTCTCTTCTGGGTTTGAAGCTCTCCATTTCCAAAACTTCTTTCTAGCTTTCCAGGAGCTGAAAGTCAATGAGGGCATCATTTAGGCCTATTTTGATTAAAGGTTTTGAAGACAGAGAAAGGTCCAGAGATGAGAATTCTGCCCATGGAGAATAGGCTGAGAGGGATAGTGGGAAGCTGGGGTATAATGAAGGCCTGAATGTCAAGGGAAGGAGAGAGGACAGAAACAGGAACATTGGAGAGGAAAAGGCTCAGAGCTGGAATGGAGAAGAGCCCTGAGGGCAAATATTGGCTCCTTCCTCCAGACAGTCCTTCCCGCAGAGGCCTCCCTGACTCACCTTGACTCCAAGGAGAATGTCCAGGAAGTCCAAATGTCTCTTCTTCTGTATCTTCTCCAGCTCCTCCCCCTTCAGGGCAGCTTTTCTTTCCCTAATCACTTTGTCTGTGCCAGAGAATTATAAAATCAAAGCATGTTAATCCTAGAAGGAACCTTATAGACAGTACCATCAAACTCCCCATTCCTAATTTCATAGAGGAGAAACTGAAGCCTAGAGAGGGAAAGTGACTGGCAGACAGTCACATAGCACATCAATAGCAAAGCAAAATTAGAATGTGGGCCTCCTGAAAATGCTCACCCTGGACACTTCCCACTATAGCAACTTGTCACCTCAGACTTAGCATTATTGATACCCAGCCCTAATCAATTTCCCACTTGTTGCCATATGTCCAACCTTGGTCCAATATCCCCATTAACTTCCTAGAATTCCAATCTCTAGAATTACTGATTAGGAGAAAAAAAGTTTGTAGAATGAAAGGACCATGAGGTTTGGAGAAGCCAGGGGGAGCGGTGAGGGGATTTTTTTCTGAGAGACTAGTTCCTTAGAGGAGTTCTTTCAAAGTGACCAACTGAGTAAGAATGATTATGCCCAGGTCTTATTTAACATCTCAAAACAGTATACGCTTATTGGGAGAGGAAAGGGTTGGGGAAAATAAAGGGTAGGGGAAAGAATGAAACCTGCATTGGAAAAATCTTACAGAAAATCTGAGATTGAATAACTGAGTAGGTCATAAAAGAGGCCTCAGTGTAAGGAATAAATGCTGTGGAGAAAAGAAATCCAGAAGTCTCTGGAAGGAAATCAGCCTTATAACAAGCAGCCCCCTTGGGCAGAGAGAGGAGATTCCCTCAGAAAGTTGTTTGGAAAGTTAGTCAAAGACACATGGGAAGGTATGACTGATAAAAATGAGAATAAGATCTTAGAAAGGAGAATGCAGGAAAGTGAACAGCAGAACCAACAGTGTAGAAATTAGTGGTAAATTGTGTCAAAGCAGTGAGCTCTCATTGAGAAGTGGAGAGAGAGTTCATGGAACACAGTGAATGCTCCTACTACCAGGTCCAGGAAAACTCCATCCTTGAAGGATGTCATTGCCGAGTCCTGGTGAGGGATCACCAAAAGACACTGGAGAACTTAAGAGTTGCTACAGACCTAGAAATGGGCAAAAACCATGATTTTTTTTAATGAGGAGAAGGTGGAGTCTGTAAAATGTAAGCTGATGAGGATTTGACTTTGATTCCATACAGAGTTACAGAGTGGATATATTATTAAAGAGTTGGCTTGTGAACATTTAGAAAAGAAAGCTGTGATCACCCAGAATCAGCCTGGCCTCAGCAGAAACAAGTTAATTTCCTTTTCTTTCCTGGTCCCTTGACTGGCCAATCAGGAGAACACTGCAGATTTTTTTTTAACTTAGATTTTAGCAAAGTATTTTACAAAATCTTCTCTACTCTCCTTGTTGACGAGGTGGAGAGCTCTAGAGGATGTGGCATTTGCTGCTTTAGAAACTGATTAAATGATTGGAACAAATACCTAATCAGGAATTTAGACCACCTGGAAGGAGGTCTCCAGTGGAGAGCTCCATCGATCTGAACCTGGCCCTCTGCTGTGCAACATTTTTATCAGTGATTTGGACAAAGACATAGATGGACAGGTGGCATAAATTTTTGAATTGCAGCTAATACTATGGCTTATATTATCTAAGAAGGTCTTGACAGGTTAGAAAAATAGGCCAGATCTAAGATTGTAAATATTAGTAGGTACAAATGCAGAGTCCCACATCTGAGTTCCAAATATCAATTATAAAAGTAGAAACTAGGCACACACAGAATCTGGAGGAGAAACGAAGGGTGTCTGAGGGGAGAACTAATGAGAAATATGGTCAGAATTTGTTTTATGATTCCTATACGGTACACAGTAGAGGGAGAAACTCTGAACCACTGGCTAGTGACCTGCTTCTCTGGCAACGATTCTATGAAAAAGAGGTGGAGGAGGAAGGGGCAGAGGAAGAAAGGAGGGACAGCCCTAGGCTGCAGCCTACCTGTGTGGTTGTGGGCAATCTTGCAGGCCCTCAGAAAGTTACGCCCATGGGGTGTCAGCCAGTAGAGGAAGTCATTATGGTACTGGAAGGTCTGGATTCGTTCTTGCATCAGCAGGGTGAGGTTGGTAATAGCCAGGTAATAGTCAGTGTCACTGAAAGTGCCAGGGAGAGAAAACGTGAAGTGGGGACAGAGAATTGGTGGGAATCTGATAATGGCCATTCTGTCCCCTCCTCCTGGGACCAGCTACCCATAAGGACCCAGGACAGTACTGGAGACCCAGCTCAGAGTCCCACCTCTCCCGGAACCTCTGCCTTGACCACTCCAGTCCTCACTGATGTCTGTTTGTGGTAGATCTGTGTCTACCTGGGTTTTTGTGTGTATCCCACAGGTTCCTGAGGGCCAGGGTAGGGACAACTTCCCCCGAATATGCTCTGACCTCTGTGTTTGGCCTTTGTGTGTCTTCCCAAAGATGCATTTCATCAGGGTGTCCAGAGCCATGAAGCCCACATCATTGAAGATCTCCACACACATATTCACACAAACCTTCTCCTTCCACTTGTCCTGTGGAGATGGGAGATCAGGGCCCTTTCTTCAGCCTCAGACCCACAGGCCCACAATTAGGGGGCATCTTTGGCAGCTTCCCTCTTCCTTGGCCCTCCCCAAGTCACCAATGTCTTTTCCCCTGTTTTCTCCAGGAGTGTGATCCACTCACTCACCCCCTCTACATTGACCTGGCTTGAGCCCATCCTCAGAAGCTCTGGGCTAGATGTAAAGGGCTTTGGGGGAGGCTAATCCAGTGAGGATTAATGGCTAAGAACATTGGAGGCCCTCCTGGATGCCCTAGGACAAGAGGTGTAAGAGAGAGGGACTGGCTTTGTGGTTTAGGGAATGCATCTGTGTTTCCTTCAGTATAGTGAACTGCCAGGTGTGGAAACTCCCTCTCCCAATGCAGGTTGGCACCTTCTCTGCAGCTTACAATGGTAGAGAGCAGGCTAGAGTGCTAAGTTAATGAAGTTAACCTTACAGCCATGATGTTTCATAGACATGACCTGAACTCGGGTTTCACTGGCTTTGATGCCAGCTCTGTCAAAGCTACCTACCCCATACTGACCATGGTTCAACAGTGGAATTTTAGACACTGAGATAGCAGGTGGGAAAGACACAGGAATCACAAACCATAAAGCTGGAAGGGGCTTGAGAGACCATGTGGCCCAAATCCTTTCTTCCCCAGATAAAAAAACTGAGGATCAGAGAGAAAGCTGATAGTGTAGGTACTGAACAGCAGGTTCAGCCTATGCACCCATATTGTCTTATGTCAGACTCAATCACTGTTTTTCCATAATAGCAAGCTGTTTGGGAGATGTCAGTGAAACTCTGTGGCCCAGTGGGCAGGGAACTAGTCTCTAGAGCCAGGCTTCTGACACCTACTGGCTGTGTGACCCTGGGCAAGTCATTTAACCTCTCAGTGCTCTGGGCAAAAGACTCTAACTTTCAGAGGAGGTGCTGATCTGGATTGGCAGAGAAGTCTTCCTATACCAATCAAACCCCAGGTCCAATCCTTTTTCTTATCCCTGCTGCCAGTCAACTTCCCCTTAGCTATGGGAATGAGAGGGCAGCCATGGCTTGGGGCACCAGGGACAGAGTCCATCCCTTTCCCCTCACCTAGGGGATGCTAACCCAGGAGCATGACTACAGTTCAAGGTTGCATCTCTACAATGAGAGTTTTGGATCTCTCAAGAGGAAGAGGAGAGATATAAGGAGAAGGTATGGGCAGGGATGAGGAAGGAGTTTGCTTCTTCCTAATGATCTAGGCAAAAGGGCCCCACTAGGGTTTTGCCAAAGCCCACTTTGGGGAGATGATGCTGCATCCAGGACAGGGACCGTGGGGAGGATCTCTTACCAGCATGGCATGGGTGGACTCTGCAAACAGGCTCACATAAGGCTTCAGCACCTCATTGTGGAAGGCAGGCGTGAGCAATTTCCGGTGTTGGAACCACTTGGGCCCATCCAGGACCAGCAGCCCATTACCTGTAGTGGGGATGGAGGTGGGTAGACATATAATTAGGTAGAGTGGAAGCTCTTCTTAGCCCCCTTTCCCTTCTGCCTTCTCCCCCTTGCCAGGCCTGGGCAAAGACCCCTAGGACCTGGCTCCCTGGCACTCTCTGGGAGCACATGGTGACCCCTCAGCAACTCCCAAGGAATGTAACCAAAGTGGGGTGCTGAAGAATGGCCATGGAACTAGGCTTCATGGAGGTAACACTGAGGATGGGATTTAGAGGGGACTGAGAGCCTGGCTATGTGATGGACAGGGAGGGGCTATGGTCAGAATCCCCTTGCTCTCAACCTTGCATCCTCCCGACCCTCTTTCAGCCCACAGAGGATGTGTAGGTGTGAGTGTATGTATGTTTGTCTGTGGGGGGGACCCACTTACCAATCCAAGGTATGAAGAAACCGTATACATCCCAGGCCTTAGGGTCTTCAAGGAAAAGAAAGATGTAAGATTAGGCAGGTTTTCCTGTCCCTGGAGTTGCTAGAGCAGGCAATGGGGAGCATCTTCCCACCCCCTCTCAAAATCCAGGAGTTTAGGGGCTCAAGGATTCTAAGTTCAAAAGAAAGACTTATAGGACAAGGCCCCTTCTTGCCCTCTCAAGTTCTTCCTCACAGACCTCCTTCCCCTTTCCTCCACTCCCTGCCACACTCTCGGATCGCCAATTTTCATTCTCTAGTATATAAGCTTCTCTATTGCTTAAGAGACAATACCCTTCCCCATCCCATCCCCATTCCCATTCCCACCCAATCCTCATTTCCCCCACACAAACAGTAACCAATAGAAGGCTGAGATCAGTAGCTCCCTCACCTCCTCGGCTGTACACAGCCTTGGCATAGTCAGGGTCATAGATGTTCAGAAAACCAACAAATCTCCCAAACCACAGAGGGTGGGCAGAGGGGTAAGTGTTGGCCCATGATATCATCTTGTCCAGGCCTCCTCCCTCTTTGATCTAATTGGTGGGGAGAAGAATGGGAGAAAAGTTAATAGTGATAGTCATGGTGAGGCTGCAGAGAAGGAAGGATGGGGATTCCATTGACCTTGGGAGCTTCCCCATCCATTTAATGTCAGAATGTCAGTCCTTTCAGCTTCTACTTGAGATTAGGTAATCATGATGGTAAATAAAGGAGGACAGATGGAAGAAGAGATGAAGGGGAGAGAAGTAGGTAAGAAATGGTAGAAGAAATAGAGGAGAGGTTGGAGGAAGAGTGAGGGGAGAAAAGTTGTAAGGAAAAAGAGGTGAGAGAAAAATAAAAGGAGAGGAGATGGGGAAGGAGAAAGAGGAGAGATGAGGGAAGAGTGAGGGGAAGGAATATTGGGCAGAGGAATAGTCAAGATAAGAATCAAAGGGGAAGATGTGGGAAGATCTGAGGAAGAAAGGAAAGGGGAGATGAGGAAAGAGACAGGGAAGAGAGAAACAAAATTAGGTAGGAGAGTATCTTCTTGTCCTTATCTTATTCCAGAGGAATAAAACTTTCATAGACATTGTTCTGGGACCTGATATTCCTTGAATTCTAGGGTTGAGTGGAGAGGGAAGCTGGGATGGGTTGCTTTTGAGAGAGAGCAATATCCCAAGCAAAGAGGGCTGAGGTAAGAAGTAGGGTGGGATAGGGTGGGTTCAGGACCAACAGAATCTTAGGGCAGGCTATACTCAAGGTCTAGTTCAAAGACAGGCTTGTGACAGGACCAGTTTGTGGGAGGGGGGATTGAGAAGTCAGGGGTACAAGAAGTTGACAATAGGTCTGGAAGCTGAAGTCAGGGAAGAAGGGCTGATGTAGGATCTAGAAACAATGTCTCAGCCTTCGTTGTGTATGGAGATGATGGTAGTTGATGGCTGCTAGGGTAAGTGTCAGAATTTGAATCCAGTTCCTCCTGATGCTAGCTCTGGTGCCTTATCCACTAGGCTATACAGGAGGAGATGGGTCTCTAGCTGGTCCCTGAGACTGATGATATTAGAAGAGATGAGGAGGACAAAAAAGGCTCTCCAGGCAAGAGAACTGAGTAAAGCTATGGCAGCAGGAATGAACTGGATATGGAGATAGGCAGCAAGACATCTGGTATCGTGGGAGCAGAGAATGAGTGGAAACAGCAGTGATGCACATGCTGGGAACGGAAAGATGTGAAGGGCCTTAAATGCCAAACTAAGACTCTTCTACTTCCCATAGTCCTGGAGTGGGAAGGAATGGTGGGAAAGCAGATATGACAATCGATGGTTAAGCAGAGCCTTGACTGAGAGTCCAAGGAAGCCACTTATGGCTAAGATACTAGGATTAGGAGCTGCTAGAGAGGGGTCCTAAGAAGGGTGGCAGTCAGAAGCTAGTAAACTGAGCTATTAGAGCAGATGCTGAGGCCAGAATTCTTCATGCCACCCTCTCCAGGCTAGTGAGCTTTGCTCTATTTCACAGGCCATAGATTGAGCCCCAATCCTGGCCTTAACCCCAGGCTATGCACATGACCACTGGAACCTCCATTCCTCCATTTGTGAAATACAGATACTGGTAGTTGGTAATGCTAGGCTTTTGTGAGGACAAAACGAGATTACTCAAGTCAAGTGCCCAGTAATTGGAAAGTACTATATTGAAGCAAGGTTTCATTCCTGCTGCTGTTGCTGTTGTCATTTTTAGAGCTGTCCAGCAATGGCATCTCTTGTTCCAGGAGGTCCTGAATTCCTTGCCACTGAACACTCAAAGGTTGGAAGACTTTTAGAGGACCCTGGGGTGGGCAGTATCTGGACCTAAATGCCCTCTGTCTCCTGGACTCTCTATGCTGCCCAGAATAACAATGTGGGTTGTCACCAGGAGCTAGGGTATCTGGGGATGGTCAGAGGAGAAAGAGCTGATTGGGGGCAGGTGAGGACTCTGCTGAGAGTGACAGGGGGCTTACTTGTTGACCTTACCTAACCATCTGAGAGGTCTGCTCTCCTCCAAGGGCCTAGGGCAGCAGAGGAATAATGGAAGACATCCAGGGCTTTCAAATCTTGAACCTATGAGTCATTTACTTGTGATTATTCACATGGATACTGATAACCCTGTAATGAAAAACCTAAAAAGACATGCCAAGGATTATGAAGTCTTGGGACATAAAAGTTCAGACCCCAGCGGGCATGGATGTTAAAGAGAAGCAAATTGGGAGAGAGAACCAGCATACCAAGAAAGTGGAGGCTAGGGATGGTTTGTGGATTTTTGGACCACGGAGGGAGTGTACCTGACAAGGACCAAGAAAGGATTTGCCTGTACTCTGTAATGTGATCTAAACAAAAAAGAGAGGAAGTGGACAAAAAGCACCCTTATTTATCTACCAAACCTGATTCCATAGAGAGCAAGAGGTACAACAAAGGAGATTAGGAGAAAAGAGGCCAAAGAAGTCAGAGAACCCTATTCCAAGAAAAGAGCCACCACCAAAACCCATGGTCTTCTACAGCTCTAAAATAAATGCACCAAGTAGGGGTAATCGACTGAGTGAAGTGGCGATGCAAGAAGGTCCATTTGACTTCTCAATTATCACTGAGATGTAGTAGGATGAGGCATACAGTTGGAATATGGGCACACACATACTGTTGTTTGTTGTTGTTCAGTCACTTTAGTCATGTCTGACTCTCCGTGACCCCATTTGGGGTTTTTTTTGACAAAGATACTGAAGAGGTTTGCCATTTCCTTCTCCAGCTTACTTTACAGATGAAGAAGCTGACTTAAATGACTTGCCCGAAGTCACACAGCTACTAAGTGTCTGAGGCCAGATTTGAATCCAGGAAGAGGAGTCTTCCTGACTCCTATATGTTATGCCACCTAGCTGCCCTATGCATGTATTAACTTTATTCAAAAGAAAGCAGAATAGATTTTTTAAAAAGTGGGTAGCATTGTGTATTACAATTTTACTCATGTGAGGAAATTCAGGAATCCAAGGGAGGAAATGTGGCGGAGAACAGTCGGGCAAGGATTAAAGGAGAGGTGAACAGGAGAAAAATGTTAAAGAACTATGCTTTTGACCACATGGGCCAAAGGTGGGAGAGAAAACCAGACAATTTGGGAGCCAATCCTGGCACTGAACAGTAATAGAATAGTGATGGAGAATTCCAGCTTTCTGGTCATCTGCTGGCACTCTCCCTTCCTCTGCCAGAAACAAAGTGGGTGATCATTTGGGGACTTGGATTGATGATAATCTTATTCCTTAGAAACTGTAGGAAGTGAGCCCCCAATGAACAAGAGGAGTAGTTCACAGAACAGGAAGTGCCATCATTACTGGTCACTTCGGTGCCAGCCCTGGTCCTATCACTTCCTGGAATACACTCCCTCCTCACCCTCACTGTACAGTGATCTACTCTTCCTTAACTCAGTTCAAGGCCTGCTTCTGTGGAGCCTTTCTCAATCTCTGCCCCATCTGAAAATTAACATCGCTCCAGTGATTTCCTGAGCACATTAGCGCTTGATCTCCTGGAAATAACACATCCAGGTACATTTGTCATTTCATCTCAACTAGCTCCTCATGGCTGTGCGCCAGTATTTTCATTCTTCTCCATCAATCAATCAATAAACATTTATTAAGAACCTACTATGTGCTGGGCACTGGGAATACAAATAGAAAAAGTCTTGTTTTTATCAAAATACTCACAATGGCTGGTCTGAACCTCTATTTAAGGCAGCTACAAGGACCCATTTCTTCCCCCCCCTCCCCGTAGAGGATCTTACTTTCTAAAACTGTGCAAACAAAGGTCATCTGTCCTTAGCTGCCTCTGCTCCCTAGTTCTTTACTCCCAAATCCATCAATATCACCTCTCACTCTAAATGCTTTTGCTCCAGTATCTGAGGAAGAGGTAGTCCTTCTGTGTCTCAAGACTGATCCCTCTCCTTGCATTCTTTGTCCCATTCCTTCCTTCTAGCTCCTCTGCAAGGTTGGCCTAATGATCATCCCCACTTTCTAATCTTCAATCCCATCTTACGCAGTGGTTCCTTTCCTGCTGCCAACAAATCTTCCCAGGTCTTTGACCCTAAAAATGAGTCAGCCATGCTGGCTCTCAAGTAGCTGAATACAAAATATAAAATGTCAGAGCTGGGAGGGGCCTTAGAAGACGGAATGTCTGGGCTAGGAGAGAGCTTAGAACAGATAATTTCAGAGCTGGGAGGGGCCTTAATCTACAGAAAATGGGAGCAGGAGCAAGGAGAGACCATAAGGATCATTTCTAAACTGTCATAACACTGCTTCACTGCCCAGATGTGAGGAAGGAGACAGCCTAAGAAGTAGACAGCAGCTTCTTTTTGGCTGCCCAAAAGAGACACTGCCCAAGAGATTCTGAGCAACGGACGCATACTCACTCAAGCCAGATAATGCTGTTCTAACCATGAATGGAGATGCAGTGCACAGCTGGGGGCGCTCAGGGCTCAGGCTGGGGCCAGGAGCCAGGCTCAGGCAAGGGCTGGGGTCAGGACTCAGTGTATCCCTGGGATCAGGGCTCATTCATGGTCCAGGATTAAGCCTCCAAAATGTATGAGTATTTAGGACTTTGTGTAATCTGCCTTCATTAATTTACAGAGTGCTTTTCTCACCAAGCCCCTCCAGAATAGTACAAGGATTATTACTCTCATTTTTTAAGTAAAGAAACTGAGAACTAGTGAGGATAAATAGCTGTCCCATTGTTGTGGTGCTGCTCAGTTTGGAGCTAGAAATGTGATTCTGGGATATTCTGAGGTCTTCTGACCAAGAGCTGTTTCTGGCATTCCTTCCTGCCAAGCTGCAGTTCTCAGACCCAGATTTGGAAAGGATAAGAAGAAAGGACAATCACCATAACAACCTATTATTATCCAGAGCAGGAAGAAAGGGAGCTGTCCTTTTCTCAGGCTGTTACCGCTGCTGCTGTGGGGAGGACTGATCTAGCTTTAGGATAAGATGTTTTAAGAAAGGAGAGAGGAGGGATAAGATATGGAGGGAGGAAACACTCTGTTCCCCGGTTACCTAAGC